TGCGGCGCGGCGGGGGAGGAGGGCGCTGGTGGCCTCCCGGCGCCTCTGGCGGTCTCCCCGCGGGCTAACCGTCCCCTTGCGGGCAGGGTGGCTGGGGAACTCGGGGCAGTGCATCCCCATGCTGTCTTCACGTAGCCCCAGGAGCAACGCTACTGCTTGCCGCCTCACCAAAAAAAACACCAAATAAAACCCAGACACCTCAGCAGAGCATCTGTGGAGGAGGCCCTGATTTCACTACTCCTTGTAGAATGTGAATTAATTTACCAAATGGCTCCTCACGTTGGCACAAGCAGAGGGGGACTTAATGTGCCAATGGATGTTGCTTTGAAGAGCAGCAAGCAGATGTGTGACGGGAGCACTTCTGTGAGTGACACAGGGATCGATCGATTCCCTTTGTCTCTGGTTTCTCAGTACGTATACTGTGCATGTAACTATGGCTACCGAGCAGTGATAACTCCCTGGCCTATCACTCCTTTTTCTGAGGGAAATTACCACAAAGGGCTTCTGCGAGAAGTTCCCAAGACATCCGCCACAGAGCTGGAGGTCAGCATGGCCGGCGGCACAGGGCGCTCTGCGCAGGCTGGCTGCTCCCCACGGGCCCTGCACGTCCCACGGGCCCTGCATGTGGGTGCTGCTGCGGTGCTGGTGGTGACTGGTGCTGGGCTGGGCTGCTGCTTTTGGTGGGCTGGAGAATTGATCCTTATGAAAAGGAGCAGGTCACATCATTATTTTGTTTCTGTTACAGAAATTTGATAGCAAGTCCTGTTAAGATTACATATTTAGTATCCTGCCAGGCTTTTTTTTTTTTTTTTTTAATGTAGACAGGTAGGACTGGTAGGGACCCATTGGGTTGTTGGATAACACCCCTGTGAAATCAGAGGCAACCAAGCCCTGTGGTCCCAAAGGAAAACAAAACAACTCCCACTCCAACAGCCTCTTCTGACCTTACTGAGTATAAATTGCTTCTTTTCTAGGCTGAATTTGAGTTGATGATCAAGACGTACCAACCTCTCTTTAATCCTGGTAGGAGTGTCTAATGTAAGGTTTAATACGCCTTGCCATGAAAACAAACTGTGCTGAGGCAGTTGTAAAGTGTAACTGTAGAACAGGCTTCTTAGCTAGATAACCTTACTGAAAACATGGAAAAACATTAGCCATTTTGTCATTTAAATGATCATAACTAGGCTTTGGGGTTAGTAGTGCTGGTAGGGTGACTATTTGTCATACTTATGAGAATCATTGAATAATTTAGTTTGGAAGGGACTTCTGGAGCTCGCCTGGTTCAAACTTCTCCAAGCAGGTCCACCTTCAAAGCTTGAATGGGTTGTTCATGGTCTTGTCAAGTTGAGTTTGCAATATCGTCAAGGAGAAGATTTTTTTTTTTTTTTGTGGCATAATCTGCAGAGGAATTGTTTTACAGGCTTGATCTTAGAAACAACTATTAATTTACTTTATGGACATAGATTTTTTTTCAGAAACAGGCTCTAAAATTGCATTCCCAGAGCCACATCTGCATGCTAGAATAAATTCTCAGATCTCAGATGGTCTGGGTTTTTTTTTGTAATAGAGGGGGAAGATGTTACATCTTAAATGCTTGTTGATGCTGTCCTCAAAAGCAGAACTGCCTGCTGTGCAGATCAGAAGCCGTGGGAGCAAGCCTGAGAACATCCAGAGAAATAACAACCTACCAGTCATAGTCACAAATGCTGTTTGCAGGCAACTGCTTTATCAGAATGTCTGAGGGTTGGTGTCCAGTGGGACATTGACATAGGCAAAATGATGAAAATAATTTTTGTCAATAGAAGATCTGCAGCTGATATACAAGTGGGGAAGGGACACACTGCCAAATATGTCATGAAAACAAATACTGGTAGGGAAAAGGGTGCTCCTGTCGTCTCCCAGGAAACTCAGTACATGCTGCTCATGTTTTCTAGTTCACTTTCTTGGCTTTACTGACTGATTTTTATGAAATTCATTACACACTTTCAGTTGTCCTGGTAAACTGCAGCACCCCAAAAAATTGTTTGAAAGGTTTGGTACTTAAGAAAATCCCAAGTTTAATAAAGTTATTTGGTAGAGAAGACTAGATCAGTGTTTTAGTCAAAGTGAAATGTCACAGCAGTAAGTGCTTGTCTTAGACCCAGGAAAAGGTGCACAATCACTGCTGATTGCTATAAAAATAAAAAAAAAAACCCAAAATCTCTGAGTGGTGAGGATTTTAATGCACAGTAAACAACAGTGTATTACACAGGCTGTTTTTTGTGTTCATTATTTAGTGGTGGTTTTATTTTATAGATTACATTTGCAGGAAGACAGGGAATGAAGACGGAAATCCAATTCTCATGATTAGGCAAAAATGTTGCCCTGTGGCTATATGTTATATTTGCAATAACTGTATGCTGAATGACCCATATGTAAATATGTCACTTAACCACTGGGAAGGTGATTGCTATGAGCAGACTGGGAAAAAATGCAGAAA